TGGCACCCACATCCTCATGGCAGCAGTGCCCCTCACCACCTACGCGGTGGTGCAGCTGCGGCGAGAGTCCTCCGACTATGACTGGAACGAGAGCATCTGCAAGGTCTTTGTCTCCACGTACTACACCTTGGCTCTGGCCACCTGCTTCACAGTCGCCTCCCTCTCCTACCACCGCATGTGGATGGTGAGATGGCCAGTCAATTATCGGCTCAGCAACGCCAAGAAGCAGGCTCTGCATGCAGTCATGGGTATCTGGATGGTATCATTCATCCTCTCGACCCTGCCCTCCATCGGTTGGCACAACAACGGCGAGCGCTACTACGCCCGTGGCTGCCAGTTCATTGTCAGCAAGATAGGACTGGGCTTTGGCGTCTGCTTCAGCCTTCTGCTCCTTGGGGGAATCGTCATGGGCTTGGTGTGCGTGGGTATCACTTTCTACCAGACCCTGTGGGCACACAGGAGACGCCGGCAGTGCCGCCATCAGCGGACAGAGGAAGCGTCATCCTCCTGCTCTTCCTCAGCACACAACACTTTCAATGTGCCAGCCATTGTGGTGGAGGATGTGCGAGGCAAGAGGAGGTCTTCCCTGGATGGCTCCGAGTCGGCCAAGACCTCCTTGCAGATGACCAACCTCATCAGCGCTATCGTCTTCCTGTATGACACGCTCACCGGGGTGCCCATCCTGGTAAGGAGTGCGCTTCCCCTTTCCCTTCACAGAGCCCACACTTAAACTCTTTTTTTTTTTGTTTGTTTTGAGTTTTAGATGAGAAGCTGAGAAGCTCTGTCTTCTGTCTGCCCCTGACAGAGTGGCCACCTCTGAACCTCTGGAGTTCTTAGGGCCAGTTTTAAAGAGATTGCAGTAGTTCTCTTATCATCTACAGGAACCTTAAGACAAGACTAAACATAGAGAATACATATTACACAGCTGAAAACTCTGTGAAAGTTAGAAATGGCTAGGAAGAGACTGGAGAGGAAATTATTCTGCATACTTACAGGGTGATTTACATACCTAAAAATGGTGAGATTTTGATTTCTCTGATTTGTTTCTGGAGAACTGATACACCAGCTTTAAAAGCTGTTGCTGTCAGTTTCCTTTTCCCTTCTGCTTGTATGTTCATAGTCAGCATTCGTGTTTTGGCTGGCTGGTTGATTTTCTGAACACTGAAGAGCTGAGGAAGTTCATGAAGGGAACCATTAAGGCTTAGTCACCGTTTTTCTTTTCTTTTTTTTCTTTCCTTTTTTATTTTTTCAGTCACTGTATTTTGTTAGCRCCTATTTAACTCCAGCTCATAATGAGCACTGGGAAGAGGGGATGCTAACAGCACTGCTCAGGTTAGGGACATGACAGAACACACTCCAGCAAACGTGGGACAACATCCTAGGAAGACTGTTTAAAATAGGGCCTGGGGTAATTACTTGAAGAACCCTTCACTTATAGATTACCTACTAATACAAAATTGACTAATGGTATCTTTCTCCCTTGACCCCACTTCGATCTTCTGCCTTTTCCATGGCCCTGKTTTCCTCGCCCGCCTCAAAGGTCGTGAGCTTTTTCAGCCTGCGCTATGACACGGCCCCCACCTGGATGGTTCTGGCCGTGCTCTGGTGCTCCATGGTGCAGACCCTGCTGCTCCCCTCCTTCATCTGGTCCTGCGAGCGCTACCGAGCTGACCTCCGCACCGTGTGGGAGCAGTGCGTGGCTATCATGTCYGAGGAAGACGGGGATGATGGTAAGACCCTCTCTCACCACCCCACAGCCACCTTTCTTCACAAATACTGTCCCTTAAAGACTACAGAGGAGAGAGTGATTCTGTCTTGAGAATCAAGGACCAGTGACAATGAGAGAGCTGTTACGGGGCGGGGTCTAGGTGGGATTCATATTTGAGCTTAAAGTTGGCAACCATAAGGCAATTTATTCTGGTGACATTCATATGCCACCTAAAGGACTGATGAATATCCAAGAACAATTAGTGCAACAGCTTCACAGTAGGCCCAAGAACAGAGGTGATGCGTAGCCATCAAACCACAACAAAAATGACACACCAGCCCTTGGCTGGATCTGCYGATCCAAAGGCCAATCAAATTGTGGTGGTAAGAGATTCTCCTGTGAGACAGGAGAAACAGGCAATCCTCTGTGTCCTTTAGCCCTGCTGGAAATGGAAAGAAGAGGTCCTTAGTCAAAGTTGAGAGAGCTGCGAGCAGGGTGGCAAAAACAAGACARACATTACAGTGGTGTCTAGGTGCCTTGATAATGCCCATCTTTTAGTGCAGAAACCTTTCCTGCTGTTCTCCCGTTTACCAACAGATGGGGTATGTGAGGATTATGGTGATGGCAGGATCTGCAAAGTGAGATTTGATGCAAATGGCGCTGCAGCTGTGAAGCGGGACTCCCGGGATATCAAGCTGCTACCCATGCATCACATGTTGTTGCCCCAGGACAAGGTGCATTATCTCCAGGTGAGCCAAAGGGTATCAGGGGCAGTTCCACAACCCTCTTCCTTCTCTGTTGGTTTCCCATATCTTTGTGTCCTGTTGACTTTCTTCTCTCACAGTGTCTCAAATGTGCTACATCTGTTCAACTGTCTTCTCCTCTTTCCAGGTCCCCATCTCCCGAAGGATGTCACACGATGAGACAAACATCTTCTCCTCCCACCGCTCTGCTCCATCCTTCCTACACAAGTGGTCTTCATCTGATGATATCCGCATTTCCACCCCCCGCAAGCCTGGAGGCCCTGGCTTCCTGCCTGCTCAGCTGCATGACTACCAGCACCGCCGGCGCCCCCCGGAAGATGAGCTGACAACCCTCCGGCAGTTTCTGGAAGGGGGGCTCATGCCCCGCGGATCCAGCTCCAGTGCCTGCTTCTTCCGAGATGAGATCACCACGTTCATCGATGAGACGCCCCAGCCCACTCCAGCCTGCAGCCCACGGCACTCCCGTCTCCTGCTCACGTCACGCCGCGATCGCCGCCTCTCCCTCGGCAGCAGAGAGGAGGAGAACGCTGACCGTCCGCGGCGCTGCTCGCTGGCTGGCAACGAGGCCTGGCACCTGCAGGAGGGAGAGCAGGCACCACATGGACGGACCCTTGAGGCCTGTGAGGCTCAGACCTTCCTGGATCCCAAACTTTGAGAGACAGCATCAAAAACATTCAGTGCCATCGAGATTTTTAAATAAAACTCCAAATGTCACCTTGTCCTGGGACCCAGTTACTAATTTACATTCTCGTCTTTCTCGCCAGCAGGCAGGAGAAAAGGCACCTCACAGTCGTGGGGAAGCACAGTGGATCTGCAGAACGGAGTGCTGTGGATGTGGACAGTCTGCCCTGCTCTCAGGTTATAAACACCACCGCCGCTGTGACAGCCATTTGGCACCCAAGCCAGTCCCATCCCGTTGTGAACTCCACCCTYGCATTAGCTCTGCCCTAGGAGACGAGGCAGGCACAGGATGGTATTAAAATTCTATATTTGGAGTGTCAATCGTGTGTCTGTTTTTAAAATAATATATTAGTAATAATTTTGTTTCCATAGAAACAAAGTGATTGGCTTAATGTTTAATGAAGCTTGTCAGGCTTCTGGAAGGGAAATACAGAATGTGCAAAGTTCCTTTCCTGCCTCCCTCTCTCTCTCTCTCTCTCTCTCCCCCTTTCTTGTCAGTACATCTGAGAGGCAGCCCAAGGACAGAAGCAGAGTCTGTATTGAGGAGACGGGGTGAAAAGTTTTCCTCTCCATCTCAGGAGAGACTCAAGCTATCTACAGGCAAACAGGAGTGGCTTATGTGATTTCTACTGTTGCTCAACAAGAAGTATGGCTTTGAAGCAACCCTATGCTTGAAACAAATTCTCTTCAGCAAGATTCTGACCCATAAAGCCCTTCACCAGTGTGATCTGCTGATTTTCATTTAAAATCTTCCTGAAACTGAATGCCCCAAGCATCTCACCTAGATATAAGCCCAGTTTGGAAYTGCTGATATAACTTTGTGCATGCAAGACCCTTAATCTGCCACTTTCAACAAAGCTGTGAACTATGGTATCTGAAGCAGGTTTCCGCTTTGGGCAGAGATCTCAGAAGGGACGTACCAAGTTGGGTTCTGGAAGATGCTCATTTCCCACCTAGACACTGTTTGTAGTTCCAGTCATGGAACTCCATGTTCTTCATGTACATGTTCCAGGGGGCGGCTGCATCAGTAGGATCATGGGATAGATACAGCCCTTCACCTCCGTGTAACAGTATTAGCCTATAAACTTTGAAGCATATCCTGCACGCACCTGGGTAAACTAGTCATAACCCCTTGAAGGCCTTTTTGGGAGAGTCTAGTTCTCATGTACTGAAGAAAGGTTCAGCTGTTGCTGATACTTGATGGCTGCCAGGACAATGAAACACATCAGACAAAGAGGTGTCGGCCTCTCTTGGCTTACAAAGGACCTGCAGTGGGTTGGTCTAGTCACTCCCAAAGTCATGACACATCCCAGCTGCTGCAAGCTTCATTCCTATCTGTGGGTTGCTTGGTTTGTTTATTTGTTTTTCCCATAGAGAAGTGATAAAACTGCCACCTTGCAGGCAGTTCCCTTGGGGTTCATGGATGCAGGGGGGTAGGTTACAGCCGAGCGCCCCAACATCATGGGGTCATGATTATTTTATTCTAACACATCACACGGAGCCGCTCAGCGCTGCAACGCGAGATGCCAGGGTTCAGCCTCAGCTCCAGGAAGGCCTGGGATTCCCTCCCCCTCCTTGTGTCCCCGATCCAGGAGCTGACGATCCAGGAGCTGACGTGTCCCTGCAGCTGGGAGGCTGGGGCAGGAGGGCAGCGCGGGGGGACATGCTGCCGAGGGGCTCCGGCCGCGCAGCCACGGGGCTGTCCCAGCCAGGGCCCAGATGTGCAGGGGGCCCGGACAAGACGTGCGAGGAGCCCCRCGAGCCCGGCCCCCGGGGTGTGTCTAGCCCAGGCCCTGCCAGCGCTTCCACCCGCCCCCCCCGGTCCCCTCCTCCTCCGCCGCCCGGCCATGGCCTCCGCGCTGCTGCCGCTGCTGCTCGCCCTTGCCGCCACGTCTGCCGCCGCGGGCCGCCTGCTCCCCTACGACCTGCTCTACGCGGACGGCGTGCGCGCCTACCTGGCGCGGGAGTGGGCGCGGGCGGCCGAGCTGCTGCAGCGCTCGCTGCACAGCTACGCGGGGCTGCGGGAGGCCCGCGGCGCCTGCCGCCGCGCCTGCCGCGACGAGGCRGCCTTCGCGCGGGGGCCGGCGGCGCCCTGGGAAGCCGCCTTCTTCGACCGGGTGCTGCAGCGCGCCGAGTGCCTGCAGCACTGCCTGGGCCGCCGCCTCGGCGGGCCGCCCTCCGCGCACCGCGTCAGCCACRCCATCCGGCGCGATTTCGAGCGGCGGGAGCCCTACAACTACCTCCAAGTGGCCTTCTTCCAGGTGGGCTTGCCTAGATGAGCTCCGGAGCAACCCGATGGAGCTCTGGAGTCAGCCCCTCTGGGTGCACCGCATTGGGCTGGAGACCTCCGGCAGCCCCGTCCCACCTAAGAGTTTCTCTGCTTCCCAGCAAAGGCGGCGTGCTGGTTTTGTGCTGGTGCTTCCCAGGGAGCTGCTGGAGGTTTGAAGGAGTTCAGGAGGCAGTGAGGTGCAGGGCACTGCGAGGCCTTGCAGATTRATGCCCTTTGTGCCTAGTGAGGCACGCACTGACACATGGGCTGTCAGGGACGTGGGACACGGGACGCGGGACACAGGCGTGCTGTAGATGAGTCTAGGTCACAGCACGGGCCAAGTGCTGTTTRCAGGGGGGCCCTACCCAAGCATTCGGTGTCATGGTGCCAAAGTCGGTGGAGCAGCTGGAGTGAAGGATGGGTCTGAAGGGAGGCGGGCCTGTCTCATGCGCACAGGAATGTAACATAGGTTGCCTTTCCTCTGCAGTTGAAGAAGCTGGATCAAGCAGTATCTGCAGCTCACACGTTCTTCGTTGCAAATCCCCAGCACCTCCAGATGCGTGAAGACATAGAGAAATATCGCCGTATGTCAGGCGTGAAAGCAGACAGCTTCCGGGATCTGGAGGCCACCCCRCTCTGGGTGAGAGTCTGATGCAAAGCTGTGTGTGTTTACAGACATCAGCATGAGCGTGATGTGTCACACGGTCCCAGGGAGCAGCCCAGGGCCCTGCTCTGTTTCAACATAGCRGGTCATAGCCTGAGACAGGGTATCCATACACCAGGGAAGGCAAACTATTGACACGGAAACAGATTTGGTGGTGGCAATCACAGCAGACTGCAGTGCCTCAGAGGAGCCTATTTGTCACATGTCCAGATTTGCTGTGCCACTGCATGTGGGCTGTGCCGGATCCAAGAGGCCCCTAGATGTCAGCACTATTCTATGAGTGACTTGAAGTCTCAGGGAGACTTGACTTTGGGGTCAACCATACTAACAAGGGGCTGGTGCTGTCCTTTGCAGGAAGCCTATGAGGCTGGGCTGCAGCACTACAATGCAGATGAGTATCTGCAGGCTGTGGACAGGCTGGAGGAGTCACTCAGAGAGGCAATGTCGGCACTGGAAGAGTGTCGTACCCTGTGCGAAGGACCTTGGGAGGAGGAGGAGAAGGAAGAGGAAAATGACGGGGACCAGGAGGAGGAGAAGGAGGACATGCAACCTGGCCTGTATGAAACAATTGCAGGTAATGTCGGAGGCACAGAGTGGTGGTAGGAAGGCCATGCTTTCCAGTCTGGACAGGTCCCATGTCCATCTTCCAGCACTGCTGGCTGGTAGAAGAGGAAGCTGCTGGCTTTCACACTGCTCTCTCTTGCAGCCCAYTATGTTCAGGTCTTGAAATGCAGACAGCAATGTGTGATTGAAATTGCCACAAAGCCAGGGCGGATTTCAGCTGCAGAAGATTTCATACCCTCCCATCTTGACTTACTGCAGTTCGCCTATGACCAAGGTGAGCAGAGCCACAACCCAGGTACTACAGGTACTGCTGTAGCACCCYTACACTTGCTCCTCTCCTCTGGATCTGTGGAACAGCATGTCATGGAGGAAAAGTGTTACACTGACCTGAGCTCTACCTTTCTCTCTCCTGTCCTGTCCCTTCTGTCCAGCTCTCTGTCCAGAAYCTCGTCTCTTGCTTAGGCCCAAGTTTGAGGCCACCTTTGGAGAGTTTCTCACGATCCACTTCTGACTCTCTGTGCACTTCCTGTAATGTGTCTCCATTCCCACTGTGTGCATGGACAAATCTTTCCTCCAGAGTTCTCTATTTGAAGTCCTAGCTTGTCCGGCTTGCCTGACCCAAATGTCTGTCACCTCTTCTGTCACCGCCTTTATATTTTTTTTTCTCTCAAAGAAGCCTTTAGTACCCAGCTGCCTTATCTTTATTTTGGGGCCAGAGAGATGGGACTATCTTTCCTCATATTTCCTTTTCTTCTCCCTCAGCCCCACTCTGAACAAGCCCCAAATAAATATCAAAGGCGGGCCGCTTCTTCATCGTGCTTATTCCCTGTRTCTCTGACCACTGTCCTCTGCTTCATAGAGACCCAGCTAGGCAAGGAGGATGTGTATTCTGTGCTAGGCCTCYCACTGCCAAGTTGTGGGACTTTGGGCACTGCTAGCCTAGACACATATGCTGATAACATAAAGACTTTTGCTGACCTATAAGTTTGTTCTGTTCTGTCCCTGCTCAAGGTGGAAACAAGACACTGGCTGCTGAATGTGCTGCTTCCTACTTGCTCTTCTATCCCATGGATGAGCCAATGTTGGAGAAAATGAATCAGTATCGCACAGAACTGGGGCAGGACACAACTGTCACAGCCAGAGAGGTAGTTACAACCCTGGGTCTGTGTTTGCTGGCCCTCCCTGCCACCTGCAACTGAACCACTGGTCCAGGAGACAAAAAGGGGAGTTTCACTGTAAATGTGTACCAAGATCAGAACTAAAGAAACCAGAGCCTGAGTTTACTTACAATTTATACCAGACAGAATTGGTCTCCTTTAGCTCACAGTAGTTCAYTGGGGCGGGTTTTTGCCCTGGACTGGTATGGGATTATCTTTTGAGGTTATTTGACAGCCTCTTGTCTTCTTAGAATATTCAGCATTACATAGAGAGATCACTGATGGAAAAGAAGTTGATTTACTATGCAGTGGAGCATCTAGGAGGAACTTTTAATGACCCTGTAAGTATTGATATTAATTTTCCTGCCCTAATTTCATTAAGAATGTTGCTAGACCTCAATTTAGTATTGCATGATCCAGAGAATATCAGCTGCTGCTGAGAAGGACCCCAAAATCCTTTTGTCTTGTAGATTTTTAAGGACTTCCTTCTGCTCCAGAGCTTAAGCTATTTGAAAATTCATTCTATAACTGTATGCATTAGCCCAATCTAAGTGGCCTTGGAAACAGGCTAGAGCCATTAGTCTGGTCTGCCACATAGAAGAGGTCAAGGAATGGCCTGGTTAACCTAATGCAATGTGGGAGAAGTTTGCTGGGTGCTGAACCTTCTGCATTTGTTCCCGTAGGATCTCTGGACTCCAGATGAATTGATTCCTGAAAGTCTAAAGGAGCAACAAAGGTAAGGCTGGCTGAGTTGAGTAGGAAATCAAAATGCTGGAGGCAGGGRTTAGGGTAGGACTGGCAGAACAGGAACATGAAGAATGTGAACAGATGACCACAAAGAAAAGTTAGGTAGAATTCGATGTACTGACAGCCCTGGTCTGTGTTTTTTCCCTTGCTCCCGAGAGAGGATCAGGAGAAGCAAAAGCAGGAGACTCTGGATGTGGAAGAGAGGGAGAAGAGGGGTGAGTAACAGAGCTCGAAGAGGGACTTGTGTTCATTCAGCCAGGCTAAGTGCTATCTCTTCTTCCATCCTCAGGCGTTTGAATGCTAACATAAGTGCAGACTGACTCGAATGGCTCAGCAAGTCTTCTCACTGTTTCTTTTCCCCCTCTTTGATGCATGAATAGTCTTGCAAAGTCTTGCTGCGTACACCTAAAGAGCACTGTGGCTGGAGAAGCTGAGACCAATGCTGCCCGGATATATGACAAGCCTATGGACATGTATATCCCTGTTCAGTGCAGCTGGCATGGACAGGCAGAAGGGTCTACACCAAACCTGCTTCATCTCCACTAGCCCAATACCAAACAGCACTTTTCTGAAGGGGACATGGAGAAAGGGGGGAAACTGGAAACAGACTACTCAGCTTGAGCAAGTCTTTCTCTAAAAGAATCAAGTCCGATGGATCATGGCTGAATGATACAGGCTGCAGTGCAGAGCCCTTTGGTCTTGCTGGTCCCATACTCTCATGTGAGGACACAGAGCCTCTTACAGGGCTCTGTCCTGGTTTCTTTGTCTGAATGGACCCGCTGTGGTTCTCTGCTGTGGCCCATGGGAGAGCAGGTCATTCTGAGGGCCTGTGTTGGCATTCCTGACCATTCAGAAGTCAGAGAGGGGAAGAAAAAAGACCTGTTGCAACAAGTGATCAACTACTAACCATTGCTTCTCTTTGGGGCAGAAGAGAATAGCAAGATACACTGGAGATACTTCTAGGATAAGGWGCGTGATTGAAAAGAGTTTTAATGGAGGTGTTTACCTGCTTCTTCAGAGCCTCACCCAGGAAGCTGCTGTGATCTGTAACTCTTACCTGCTTCCCTGCAACTCTCCCAGCACAGCCCAAATTTCTGCTGGCTTCTGAAGCACATGCAGCAGGCCAGCTCCTCCAGCTGATGCTCTGGTTCCCCTGATGCATGTGAGAGGTACAAGTGGCCAATGTGTGAGGGTTGGGCACTTCTGGGGAACACTCCTGTCTTCCCCCAGAATGTGTAGTGCCTCTCCTGCACTCGCTTCTCCAGACTGGGATTTGGTAGCTGAGGGCTTCTTGTCCAAAGMTTGCTCATCCCTATCTGTATATGGTTCTCCCATAGGTCCTTTGCCTTTTGAAGGTATCACTGTCACCATGGATTCCCGAGAGATGAATGGAACCCAAAGGGCTGTGTTTGACCAAGTCCTGACAGAGTCTGAGTGTCTGGACCTTCTCCGTCTGACAAAGGTGAGGCCTGAGCCTCCATGTGCCCTCCATGTGCTTCTCAGCAGACAGAGCTGCAATGTTGAAGTGGAGGAGAGATGGCAGCAGCATCCGTGTCATCTATATCCRTCTGTTCCAGGCAGCTGGAGGAACTGGAGATGGCCTCAGGGGAAGACGGTCCCCTCACACCCCACATGAGAGATTTGAAGGGTTGACTGTTCTGAAGGCCATGCAGGTAAGTGCCACTATAGGCCTCCCATCTAGGTTGTCCATAAGAGTGTTTATAACCTGAGCATTTTTCTCTGTGCTGTCTTACGCACAARCACACGTGCAGTTTCCCCTGACCAGCTTCCTTTACATTCACGCACTTTGTGCATAGAGGGCTTGACATGTGTCTTCTCTCCTACAAGCAGGGGCTTTGGGTTCATTACTTGTCCCAGTGGGATAGTCTTCCTGACATGTTTTCCTTAGAACTGAAGAATGATTTAAGACAGAAGAGGCCTCTGGAAGTCTCTTGTCCAACTCCCTGACCACAGCATGGCTAAATCCAAAGCTATGTGAAGGTTTCTCAAGGCCTTGCACAGCAGGAGAGTTCTGAACATCTCCAAGGGTGGAGATTTCTCAGCCTCTCTTCGGCACCAGAGAGTTCTGAACCAGTTCCAGTACTGAACCACTCACAAGGAAATAAGTTTTCTTTCACCTCTCCCAAGGCAAAACTTCTGATACTGTAACTTATCTTTTCATGGTCTTTGAGAAGAATCTGGCTCCTTCTTCTCTATAATGCTTCTGTAGGTATTGAGAGACTGAGGTGAAATSTTCTCTCAGCCTTCTCTTGGCTGAAAAAGATGCAGCTCCCTCAGGTGCTTATTATCCGTCATATGCTGCAGTCACCTCGACATCTTAGGGCTCTGCACTGAAGAATCGCTCCAGTTTACCAGTGTCCCTCTTGAGTGGGAGGCCCAAAACTGGACACTGCATTCCAGATGTGGCCTTGTGCTCTGAGTAGAGGGAAAGAATGACCACACTCTTAAGGGTGCACTCCTGACCTGTGTTTACAAAAGAAAGCATTCTTTTCTTGCACTAGTGTGACCACAAGACTTTATGTAGGTGTGTTCCTCTATAGTATGTATATGTGTCATTTCTTAGGAGTGTCTGTGTGCCTTTCTGACAGGCTTGTTTTTCTCATGTAGCTGGCCCAGAATGGTGATGTGGACTGGAAAGATGCCAAATTGCTTCTGCAGGCCAGCGAGAAATCCCGAAAAATCATAGAGTCCTATTTTACCCCTGGGAAGAAGCTCCATTTCTCATTCACACACCTTGTGTGCCGCACAGCTGTAGAAGGTAAAGAATCTCCCTCTCTTTGTCCCTTTTCCCTGAAGATTGTCCTTCCCTGTCTCAGCCATGTTCTCCTAGGAGGCTCTTTGGCCCTTGCTCTCAGTGTTTTCTTCTCTCTGCCTTATTTCTTTTAACTGAAACAGTCTTTCCTGCAACTTTTCTCTTCAGGGGAACAGGAAGGTCGCATGGATCTCAGCCACCCAGTCCATGCTGACAACTGTCTCTTGGATCCTGAAGGAAATGAATGCTGGAGAGAACCACCTGCTTATGTGTACAGGGACTACAGGTAAGATAAGAAGAGAATCTGCACTGGACAACTGTAGGATAACTGAAATAACTGGAGAACYGAACTGTGAAGTTCAGAACTTTTCCCAGATGCATCAGAGGATGAGCTCAGCTGGCTAATGAACTCCAGCCATCATTTGCAAACCAGGTGATAGGGGTCTTGGCTCAAAGCCAGCCAGGCCTGTAGTATCAGGCAGAGGACTGCATGAGCAGTTCTGGCACGGTGTGAAACATCTCCCCTGTGTTGGCAGGAGGGTCTGCCTTGCTCCCTGCTCCCTGGCTGCAGTGAGCATTAACAGAGAGCACTACTGGGTTGGGAGATTGTCCGGATATAAAAACATGATATTAAATTGTATTCTTGTCTTCCACAGTACTATAGGTCACCCTTATAAAAAAACATGTTTCTTTTAATCATATTCTGTTCTTCCTTGTTGCTTTCTGTTGCATTCTTCACGCATTGCAGGACACAGATAACAGAGGCCTTCGATTTCCTTTACTTCTGTAGCAGTCAGTGTACTTCTATGACTATCCTCTCATTCATCTCTCTGAGGATTCACTGCCAATAATTTGCATTGAGATTTTCCTTTTTGTGGGGGATTTTTTTTGCAGTCTGTTGTAGGGTTTGTTGCTCTTCTGTGAAAAAAAAATGCTTTTAAGGCAGTGACAAGTGTGGCAGATCAAGCATGTTATCTTTGCCTGAGAAATAGCTGTTCTGTCAAAGATCGTGTGACTGACCCAATCTGCTTTTAATAAACCCATGTTATGGTTTAAAGCTGTTTTCCATTTACCTCTTGGCCTTCAGTTATACTTCTTCTCAGAAATAGATTCCGAACACCCTGCAGTCTGCTGAGGTCAGACTACCAGGCTTGTTTATGCTTCAGCCATTCCGACCACTTTCCAATCCCTTCTTACATGTAAGAGCTCTCTTTATTTTCTCCAGTCAAATGCTACTACCCTGACTTCACAGTCTTATTAAACTGTATGCTAAACTTCCAGGACTTCCATGTTTGCAATCATCTCATTGTTCACATATCTTTAACATTTTACTTTAGCCCCTAGAGTTGCAACTTTTATTTCATATCTTCTGTCCCATTTTTGAGCCTTTCCTGTTTCTCTGACATTCTCCATCAGCTTAATGGAATAGAGAGAGAGGAGCTCATGAAGGTTCTTACTCGTCTATTGGTTCTGACTTTTGTCCTAGGTGACTGTTGTCTCAGCTACACTGCTTCTCCTTTGTCTAATATGAGTAAAGAAATTTTCTGTCTTTATTTCATTTTTGACATGTGCCAAGTATGTTTTTGACYATTCTTATGTTATCCTGTACTCCTTGAATCTTAAGACTTGTCTTTCCMTGTCTTCTTCCAGGATTCAGATTAGTCCCAATATTTAAAAAGTCTCAATATTAAAAGAGAAGCAAGATTATGCTAGGTCAGAACTGAGTTTCACTTAGCACAGGGTGCTGTCACAGCAGTGCCCCTGCATGCTGAAGAGTAATAAAGAACAGGACAAGTGTGTAGAGCTGCCTCCCTGGAGTCCTGTCCCAGCCCTCTGTGGTGTGCATCTCAGGGACTTCCATGAGCTAGGCATCACTGTATTTAACAGCCCCAAATGGATTCTCCTCCTAATTGGTTTAGTCATTTTTTGAATCTGAGAATCATTCAGGCTCCACAGCCTCCTGTGACAAGGAGAGTGAGGAAGCATCTGGAGTCTTTTTCTTTGTGTTTGACTCAGCTACCTCGGATGTTCCTAGTTCTTCTCTAAGAAAAGCTGGCATATGGTTGGTCCTTATTCTCCTTCTCCACAGTACCCACTGACTTACAAACATTTGTTCTGCCGTCCTTCTGCGACCTCTGATGACGCGTATGCTTTCCAGGCATTCCTTGTAAGGAAGCCATTCCCTAGCTTTTGATCATTTGTGTTGACCTTTTCTGTGCTTTTTCCAGTACTGCTGTTTCGTATCTGAGATTGGAGAGGCAGGCTTGAACCCTCCGTGTCGGTGTAGGCTGCTCACTGGGGATTTGCACAGTCCCTTCCTAGTCCCCAATGTTGTTTCTTTTGCCAGCACCACTGAGTTGATGTTTTCTATCCACTGTAACCTCTAACCTTATAAGGACTGAAAGTCAATTCAGGGGCTGCTTTGTTAAGAGTATTTTCTTTCCCCTGACACATTGCTATAGTTTTATTTATTTTAAGTTTATTTTAATTTATAAGTTTATTTATTTATAATCAATTTAACATTTATATATTGATAATTATAATTCAAATAAAATTATATATTTACATTGCTTTTAATTTACTTGAGTGGAATATCATTCACTTGGGTGTGCAACATTTTCCTAGAGGTTTGTTTTTTCTCTAGCATGGGATACAAATCTCAAATTGTTCACATGCCTTTGACTTAAAGAAATGCCATAGTTCTATCTCTGAACTGAATCAATTCATGCTCACTCGTTCTGAATTCAATATGCTCTTCTGGACTGTGGAGAAAATTATTTATTATACTGGAAGAGTGATGAATAACTTCATTTTTTCTTCCAATGACATCTGTTTTGTGCTTATATGCTTTGAATTTCATTTGCATTCCCAATTTGCTCACCCAGCTTCATCATAGTGCCTCATGAACTTTTCTGCCCTGGCCAAATCCAAGTAATGCTGTCATGTCCAGATTTTTTCCTACYCATCTTGCTTTTCATGTCTTTTCCAAATGATTCATTCAGGTATCAAACACAGGATCTGCTACAAGGTTCCTGCTAATGGCAAGGATGAAAACTGCTCTTAATTCCACATCCTTTGCCAATCCACTCTAGCACCTTCTTGTCATGCCCATGACAACTTCTTTTATTAGCGTGTCCCRGGATGGCTGTTGTCAAGATGTTTTAAATATCTAAACAAACAAAAGACAATTCAGAGAACTAAGGTTAGAAGTGGGTCAGGCAGGTTTTCTGATTTGAGGAAACTGCATCTCCCAGATGTTTTCTTGTCTTAAACTAAAGTGCCATCAGATTTGCTGAATGCRGAGGTTTAGCTTCCTGGGACTTGCAGAGACTATCTGCAGAAGTGTTTTTGGAGAAGCTGCAGTTTGCCCGTAGCAGGGTTCAGGGGTGAATGAGCTTCACCATCCATTTGTCTTCTTTCTTCTTGTCTGCAGTGGCATTCTCTATCTCAATGATGACTTCCAAGGTGGGGGCCTTTTCTTCACTGAACTGGACGCTGTGACTGTCACAGTAAGTCTGGGATTTGGCAAAGGAAGGAGAATGGACTGAGGGTGACACCCAGTCCAGGTGGGTGGGAACTAGTTGATTATTGGATCTCAATGCTCCAAGAACAGTCCAATGCAGGTTCTGTGGCAGATTCAAACTGGAACATCCAAAGGTGAATTGAGGCAAATCTCAGATAGAGGAGAGGTTAACTCCTTTCTACCTGAGATGTTGCAGGCTCTTCCGACCTGTGGGTGTCTGTGACCTGTGTTCTTCCTTTGCTTCAATCTGTTCCTCCCCAGGGCTCGCTTTTCCCACGGATTGTAATGCCTAGTGGCTCTTTGCCATTCCACACCGGCGGGGTCAGCGTGACCGCTGTAGAAGGACAGCACTCCCCAGGGCAGGCAGCTGCCGGCTTCATTGTCCCTCCTCTCTCCTGGCAGGCCAAGGTGTATCCTAAGTGTGGGAGACTGGTAGCCTTCAGCTCTGGCAAGGAGAACCCACACGGCGTGTGGGCCGTGAGCAGCGGGAGGCGCTGCGCCGTGGCCCTCTGGTATACACACTCCCCGGAGCACGCAGAGCAGGTACGGGACCGCGCTGGAGAGCAGATGCAAGGACATCCAAAGCTGGAACAGGTCTCTGGGGAAGGGCTTGCGGGCTTTCTCAAACATCACGGCCTCACGCAGGAGCTGGTAGTTGGGTCCTGATGGGTTGAGGCCCGTTGAAGTAGGGGCAGTGTGTGGTGGGTCCTGCAAGAGTGAATGGGCTCTAGGGCATTGAATGGAAGCCCATGCGGGCAGGGTGGAGACCCCAGCAGTGAAGGATTCATTTCTGTCTCTGTGGCTGCAGGAGAGGCTGAAGGCGGAGGAGCTGATGGAGAAGGCGTCTGCGGAGCAGGATAAGATGGATGGACAACTACATCAGAGAGATGATCGTGGCAGCAGTTCCTCACAGGAGTCCCCCATGCCTAGTGACAGAGCCAAAACCACAAGACGGAGACATAAGCCCAGCTCCGACGGGACACAGCATCCCAAGGAGCTGCGACCCAGAGATGAGTTCTGAGTGTGTGAGACCCTGGGACAGGACTGGCACGCACAGTGGCCTGTCACCATCTCAATAGTGCTGGCACCACCAAGGCCTGGAGCAGTTTATTAGCATGCTAGAGCCATAGTGATAGAGAGGGATGTAGCTTGCTTCTCTGTGAGTTCCCAGAAGTTGAAAAATGGAATCAGGGACAGCATATTAAAGTCAGTGACACCGAGATCTTTCTTCACCGCCTCACCTACATGTTTGTGTCACTTGTCACTTCTTTCAGTGTAACTTCTTGGTTGTATGGGTCCAAATCAAAGCAAAGAAGGAAGGGACTTGTGGGAGCAAGGGCTATCTCACATTCAGAAATTCARCAAAAGCTTGTGAACACCTTAGGCACCTGTAAACTTTTGAGGTTTTAAACTGCCRTGTAGTTGAAACAAGAGAGAGAGAGAAGGTGAATGGCTGTGAATATGTGGATTAAAAGCAAAATGTTGAACAGAAATGTTGAGAGGAGTTTGAATCTGTGCTCCAGGAGGGAGACATRCACACTGGTTGCCGATGGAAATTTAATTAACAAATGATGGAAGGAGATTGAGCTCTCAGAGAAGGAAAATAAACAAAGTATTTGCCCAGATGCCAGCTATATCCAGTAAGCAAGGGCAAAAGCGAAAGTCAGCTCTGCCGAGATAACCCATGGAAACGTTAGGAAGTGCCTTGAAGAAAATAACATTTTGTTTCCCTGAAGCAAGTCTTTTTGTGTTTTGTTTTGTTTTGTTTTGTTCTCCTTTCATGCACTGAATATCCCCTGGAAATAGAAGACATGTTTTGTTTACCATTTTTTTAGGCCAATATATAGACAATCTGCTGTCACTGCCCAGGGAATTAGTGTCCAGAGATGGGATTATGCTGTAGCCAAGCAAGAATTGAACGGGGTGGTCATGGAGTATAAAAATGAGCAGTGACACTGTTCCTGGGAAGGATTAGAGCCACAGACCAATCCATGGTTGTGAAATGTACAGGCCTAGACAAGAACTGCATGTGAAGACTACAGCTGCAGTGGGGAAGGGAAGATGGGTCAGRGTCTGTGGTGTTAGAGAATATATATTCTCGTCATTGCTGTCAGAACAAGGACCTTCCCCAGTGGAAGCTGTTGTGTTCAGCCCTGTCCCTCTGAGTGCTGGAGGAGTAGCACTGAAGCAGGGACTTTCTCCATTCTGAAGCTTAGCCTTTGCTTTAATGTGGGGCAATCTGTTCCAGAAGCCCTTCTTGCCACCGTCCTCCTAAGCATCATCTTAGGAAAGAAAAAAAAAACAAAACAAAACAAAAAAAAAGGGACTTCACTGTGTACCTGTGAAGTTCCTTGCCCTGGCAGCAGGACCCTCCAAGTGACAGGGCTCTTCAGCAGGTCCCACCAAGGGACAGCCCTCTTACATGCACTCTTGCTCCCTGAGGACTGAAGTGGGGGTGTTGTGTGGATCCTCTTTGGTGAGGCCATGTTGAGCGGGGGTGAGGGGCCGGTGCCGCCTCTGCCCAAAGGTGGCCCGGGTGATTAGATTGATGGCCTCCTGACGTCAGATGAGATCCGTTAAAAGGTATTTATCTCGGGCTTGGGCCAAAGCCGCRGGAGAGATTAACAGAGATTGAGGCCAAGATAATCCCATCGCAGCATCTCGCTGAAGTGGCTGCCAAAAGGCCTGCTGCTGAAAGCTGCTCTCGCTGCACCCCTTTGCCCACTTGTATTTCCCTCCAGCAGTGCCCCGTTTGCTACCTGGAGTCAACACGACCCTGGCCCGGCCCTGCCATGGATTTTCCCCTGCCACAGGAGGTGGCACTGGCCCTTCTTTCCGTGCTACATGGGGTGTACCTAGGGCACTGTCCCTGGGAGAAAGGGCATTCCTGTGGACTGTGAGATGCAGCAAGCTCTGCCCCCGAGGTTTATAATCCTCGCCTGTTCTGGCTAATCTTCCCTTCATTAGTTTGTTGCTAATATAAACAGAGGGAGTCCAATCTGCCTGTGACGATTTCTTTCCCTTCAGGAGCAGCATGCTACTCTCTCTTTTCACCCCTCCCCATCCACCTGCTTTGCATTACGTCCCAATCCGATTTCCCCAAGTCTCTGGTGTCTGATTTAATTTGCCTGACGCTGCTCCTGGAATCAGCCCTCCCCCAACCCCTCCCGTCCATAGCTGTCCAGCTCCCCATGGGGAGATCAGTCCTGGAGAGGCTGAGGAGCAGAGAGGGAGCAAGGGGCTCCGGGAGCGCACAGGCGGGACTCACTGGGCACTGCAACGGGGGGGACCTGCTCCCCTGGCCAGCAGAGAAGCCATTCGCCACAGGGGACACCGACTGCCAGGGACCTGCCTGGAAGGGGACTGCAACCCACTTCAGTCTCCAAGTCCCGGTAAGGATGCTGCCTTGATGTTGTCCCTCAGCTCACCTTGTTGTGCCTGGTGCTTGGCGTCCTTGGTTTCGTGGTATGACCCAGTGTGAGTGCGAGAGTCTCTGTGTGCAAAGACTTGATGATGGCTCCATATGGAAGCATTTGAGGATGTGAGAGGGAAGATCTTATTGGGGAAGATGTTGGCATGAACACTGACATGTCTTTATGATGACGAGGAACTTGGCACTAGTACTGGGGGGCTTGTTCTCCCCTTGGTAGGTAAATTGCAACAGCGTCCAACCTGGAACAGGGGCACAACGCCTCCCCTGAGGGACCTGGGACTCACACTCAGCAGACAGCTCTGCATCCTTCATGCACTCCTGCACGCTTCTTTGCAGCTGGCTGCTTCTCTGGAGGAAGATGGAGCCCACAGAAAGCAAAGAATAGAGCAGGGTAATTTTACCCTGCCCTTTGATCTCTGTTGCCGGAGAGGAGGATCATCTCTGTATCCGGCTCTGCAAGGAGCTCAGGGCCACCAGGGCGAGCATGCAAGGCCAGCCAAGGAGATTACACAGGGACCAAAGGATGCTGCTTGTTAATACTCTTCCTCCGTCCTGCACCTTTACCTTTTCTATTTACAGCACTCTCCCAGCTATGCAACTCAAAGAGAGGCAACTCCCTCCCCAGCCTGGGGGAAGCTACCCAGAGGTTAGAAAATGAGGGGTCATTCTCACCCATCACTCACCTCTCRTTCCCACAGACAAGCAACTCAGATGACTGGCTGGAGAGGAAAGTCACCTGGGATACAGAGGAGTCTCCTCCCTGATGTTGTACAATGGGCATAGATACTGTCTTCAAAAGTCACACAGAAGCAGTAAAAGGCAAAGGCAGGTAAATGCCAGAGCCCTCAGCTTCACATCAACTTAGAAGCACTTGCTCTATGACGAGGAGACATCCAAGCAGTCAGAATGCATCTGGCTGCCCGTAGGCAGGAGAGCTTCAACAGGAGCCAGGAAAATTGTCACAGGTGAAAGGCCAGAAGGCCAGAGAGAAAAAGGGTCAGTGAAGACACAGGATTAGAGAGCAGGAAAAAAAAATAGAGTAAACTAAGCTTCTAAAGCCAAGAACTGAGAGCTGGCTGCATACAGTCAAGGCAGAGCTTATAGACAGGCTGGTGTGAATCCACTTGTAAGGCAAGACTTTGAGTGTGCCAGGCTCCCAAGTGGTGTATAAGGCTCTGTAGGAAGCACTCGTCTGCACACAGGCTCTGTACCGAGCTCAGCCTTGCCAGCTGGTGCCAAGGTCAGCCACTCTTCGCAATGCCAGGGTGGTGGTGGGTTTTTGTTTCTTTAAAGGTGCCTAGCAGCTTGTTTTCCTCTACTGCTACTAAGCATCCACCTGAATAAGCCCTTATTTCCTGAAAGGGCAGTGCATGCACAGTTTAGAAACTCTTGCTCTTAAAAAATGGGCTTGGCAGCTATTTGAGCACCCTCGATCTTATCTGTGGATCCCCCAGAAATGTTTTCTGGTCTCCAGTGACTTGCTGCCTGGGCAGGAACCTGTCTTGGCCCTCCTCCAGGCTCAATTCCCTTTCTCCTCCTCTTCACCAATTCATTCCCCCATTTCCTGCGCTCAGTTTACGTGCTGAGCTGCCCTTTTGCACACCTGCTGTGGTCCTCATAGCGGGCAGCTGCATTCCAGTGGGGACTAGGTGACTCATGCTCAACAAATTTCATTGGGATGTGACGAGTGGAGGCAAGAGGCAAAGCCAGAGCTATTATTATCACTCATCTACAGCTTCTTGCTCTTCTGAGGCTGCGAACAATTCCCCACTTCATTTAGCTTGTTCCCTCAAAGGGATTTAAAGGTTTGGACAGAGTCCTGAACCTGAGCCATACCTTTGCTATATTTAGCTCTTTTTATCTGTCCTCGACATTGTGCCCCTGCCCTTTGAAATTCCTACTGGCTCTCAAAGCCTCTCCTCTGCTGGTGCAACTTCGTGGAGCAGGTGCCTGTGAACACAACTCCCATGACAATGACAGGCTAAAGACAGGGAAAACAAATAGCCAGTGAAAGAGAGAGAGAGAGAGAGAGTGGTGAAATAAAGTAGAAGAGAGGCAGGGGAGACTAGGGACCTGACAGGAAATGGGGGGCTGTCATACAGCCTGCTTCAAATGGGGCAGAAATTGCAGAATAGGAAGAAGGAAGAATAAGGCTTCCAACCCAATATAGGGGTAGGTGGACAGAAACAGAAGTCCACAAAGTCAATTTAGGGCAGATGGGTAGATGACGATCTCAGATGATGATCTCAATTATCTCAGTGATGATTGTCACTCTGCAGATCTCATACAAAAGATCTGCAGAATGACAACCTGGAAAGCCAAGAGCCAGTGTGTTCCAGCTGGAAGAAGCTTCAGAAAAGGATGTCAAGAGGAGGCCAGGCTTTCGAGGCTTGGAAACCAAGCGAAAGACTTTCCTTCCTTTCACTGGAAGGAAAGTGCAAACTGGAAGACATGACCCAGGAAGAAAACACACCCAGTGCTGAGTGATGTGGATATGTTATGGTGGGGAGGCAGGATCAGCTATGGGGAAAACTGACGAAGTGGAAGGCTTTGACCAGAATGGAAGAGATGGGTCTCCAGAGGGTGACTGAAGGCAAGTGTTTTCCACTTGTTCCCCTGGGAGACAGTGATCAGTGCTGGACAGGTCTTGACTGTACACTAAAGCTAAGGGGCAAACACCATAAAGATGTGCAACCTCCCCCTGAAAGCTGCAAGGCCATGACAGCAGGCCCCCTCCTCCTTGCAATGGGACTGGGACTGGGGTGCCAAACCCTTTCCCAAAGGAGAAGTGCATTYAGGGAGATTTCCCTGCCCAGCTTCACTCAGCCAGGTTCAACTATGCATCCTTGCTGGGAGGAACACCGCTCACCATGCCTCCAAACTCTGGCAGCATAGCCCTGAGTGACCTCCTGCTCTCTCACCCGTGTGCTGGAGCAAGAAGACCAGGCCAAATGGCTACATCTAGTGTCTGAACAGGGAGCAGAAGAGAGACAGCAATAATGTTGCTCCACACAGTCTTGCAGGCAGCATAAATAATTCTACAATTGTTTTTCTGTGGGCCATAATCTGACATAACCTCTCTGAATCATAAGCATTGGCCCTCCTACAAGGAGCTTTATCTCCTTGGTTTTCCTGCACTCAGACTGTGCCTCAAAAGTCATTGATCAAGCAGAATTAATCCTACCTAGAGAATCAAAGGGGAGTCAGAGAGGCATTTTGCGGGAGACGGATTCTGTAGAGAATCTCAGACAGCACAACACAGGCCTTTATCTGGGGCAAAGCAGTAGCCACAGGTGGGACACAGGGAACCCATCTGCATGTGCTTGCAGAGTGCCCGACAGGAGAAGAGCAGCTTGGCTTTGAAAGACCGAAAGCCTTGTTAGCTGGAAGAAAAAAGCCGGAGAAGGATAAGGGCTATGTGATCCAGAGAGACCAGAGGAAGAAATTCTATGGATGCTGCTGGAGCATTTCTTGGACTTGGTACAAAGCACTGCTTTTGATCGTGGTGCCACTGGGCTGACGGAAAAACCTGGAGCACCTCTGGACACTCATATTGACCTGAGAGAAGGATTAAAGCAACAAATACCGTATTTGTATTTGTGAGTAAGACATAATAGAATCCCTGGTGAAGTTTTAAGTATGCCTAATAGCAAAGAAAGAGAGCAGGGCAGAGATGTTGTATAATCATACGGCTCATCTGTATCTTCAGTTCTGGTTCATTGCCTTCTCTGCAGAACAATATAACAACTACTGAAAAAGACTCAGAGAACAACAAAATCGGTTAGATGTAACAGCTTACATATGAGGAATGACTAAGCTGCCTGGAAAAGAGGGAGATGAAGAAGAATGTGATGAAGACCAGTTGTCTACAAAATCTGACCTAAAGAGAAACCGATTACTTGCTGGTTCTTCCAATTCAAGRACAACGAGCCATCGGGTCAAGCTAGTCCCAAGCAAGTTCAGAAGTGATAGAAGTAGGCATCTCCTCACAGAGCATGCCACTAAGCATGGCATGCTAAGCCACCACAAGTCTCTGAGGAATCTAAAATTTGAAACAAGATCAAAAAGTGACTGGAAAATGGGACTACAGAATACTGTGCTACTGCCTCGGACTTAGGAAGTCAGTGGAAAGCTGAACTAGCAAAGCAGGAGAAACACTATTATATGCTTATTTTAGTCTTAGATCCCTCCTGAGGCTTTTTTTTTTTTTTTTTTTTTTTTTTTAAGCATGGGAGATCAGAAGAGAAATGTGAAAGAGCAGCTCAGCAACACACAGATTACCTTGAGAGCCAAAGAGATAGTTGACACTGTCCAGTGATGCTTTGTTTTGGACAAAAGACAGAAAATAGGTCCCACAGCCGCTGGGCTGCCTACATCAAGTTTCATTCTTCCGGAGTTGATGATGAACTGTCTGGGCACAGAGGATCTAGGACCTTGTAGGGTCTGGAATAGGGAAGGTACAGATAAAGGGAAGAAGCGCAGAGCCTCCATAAAGGTTCTGCAGATCTTCAGCTCCTAGTGCACATATAAGTAGGATGGAGAACCAAATGGACCTTCGATCAAGTTTGGTATGATCTTTTCAATTGCTAAAGGCTTTGATCAGCATGACATTTCCAATCATGCAGGCAAATAATGTCAGCCAGGCCCTTATCAGAGACACCTAGCTTTTCATAGCTAAGCAAAATCAGCTCGCTTTTTACTTCACACCCCCCCCCTTCGATTTGTCTTCCCAGAACCAAGGCTCTGCACGTGGAGGAGCCACACCTAGATCTGGAAGATGGGGGAAATGGAACAGATGAAACAGGAGGCTGAGCAGCTGAAGAAGCAGATTGCGGTAATGCTGCGAATAGTCATGAAACTGTCAATATGGCACCTGCCCCCTGTGGTCACGTCCCCATCCCTTACTTGGCCTCAACTTGGAGTTGACCTTTCTCCAAACATATCTTTGGAGACCCCTGCATGGCAGGRGGAGAGGGGGCAAAAAGAGGGCGAGGGGAAGAGAAAAAAGGGGAGACACTAAATGGGTGAGAAGCAAGTGGCCACAAGCATCATGTCTGTGGGGGACCACAGAACATGGGCTGTCCTCTGCCTGGTGTTTTTAGATGTTGTTTAGATGGTGTTTAGATGGTGTTTTTACTAGGCCAGAGGATCCACATAGCTTGGGGATGTGGATGCACATCACCTTTTGGCTCACCCCTCTATTATTTGTCCCACAGGTGTGGAGGACTCTCAGTCGCAGGCTGGGATCCCACTGGCCTGGGCAAATCCAAACACAGCAAAGCCACAGTCCCTACATCTGGCAACTCCTGCTTTAAATTCAGTTATGCCCTTGAATCTCATTGCCCTCTCCTCTCTTTTCCAGGACGCACGGAAAGCCTGTGCAGACACAACACTTGCTCAGGTGAGGGGCAGAATTGGCTGGCCAGGTGACTATTTTGGGGTCAAATAGCTCTACTGCGAGGTGGACTTTCTGCTGTGCCCAGGGAAGGAGTTAGGGAACAGAGTTGTGGAAACAGAAAAGTTCCTGTCAAGTGCAGACTTAATTCTTTCTCTCTTTCCACTCTGTCCCTAGATTGTGTCTGGAGTAGAAGTGGTTGGCCGCATTCAGATGCGGACCCGAAGGACCCTGCGTGGGCACCTGGCCAAGATCTATGCCATGCACTGGTCCACAGACTCCAAGTGAGAGAGACACTGCTGATTTGCTGGTTGCTTGCAGGGACAGGGAGGGGTGCAAGGCAGCACACAGTCCTGAAGGGAAAGATGGGAAGTCTCTGATGGGAAAAGAGCTGCTAACACAATCTTGCTCCTTTCTCACAGACTCCTGGTGAGTGCCTCACAAGATGGGAAACTGATTGTATGGGACACATACACTACCAACAAGGTAAGAGTCAGATGGATACAGCAGATGTGGATGTTGGAGTGAATGCCTTTAGAGCTCGTGCCCTTGTTCTGTCCCATCTCCTCTGCTCCCAGAGTGCAGACAGGGTTTCTTGTCCTCCCAGGTTCACGCCATCCCTTTGCGTTCTTCCTGGGTCATGACCTGTGCCTATGCCCCCTCAGGCAATTTTGTGGCCTGTGGGGGCCTTGACAACATGTGCTCCATCTACAACCTCAAGACTCGTGAAGGCAACGTCAAAGTGAGCAGGGAGCTCTCAGCCCATACAGGTGCGTGTGCTGCCTACCTACCACCTAGATGTCCTCTGCTTCTCTCCCTCTTCTAGACCTGTCCTGTTTCTCACACTGACTTGCTCACACTCCCTAGGTTATCTCTCCTGCTGCCGATTTCTGGATGATAACAGTATTGTGACTAGCTCTGGAGATACCACATGGTGAGTGTCATCTTCTATATCCTCACAATACAAGCAGTCATGGGTACTGGAAACTCACATAGGCCTCCTCTGGAAACCTCCTTCTCCAGGAATTATGTCATCACAGAAACAGACACCATGCAACCTTGTTGGCTTCTAGGGGCCTAGCTTACACCAGCTAGCAGAGTTCTCTTGCTTTGCAGTTACCCAACCTTCCATAATCTAAGGATAAATTGCTTCTATGTAGGGAGGCTACACAGAGTACTTTGGGTACTAAAGTATCTTAGAAAGCCGAATTCCTAATTCCTCCTTTGGCATAACAGATACTTCTTTTCCCAGTTGAGGACTAGTCGAGATGCAGGCCTACTGATGAAGCAGCATGGACAATTTAGCCARCTCTCATAAAATACAGTATCATTTATTCTGCCACAGAAAATATCATAAAGTTATGTAGAGCCTATATACAACCTTCATTTCTCAAATATTACCCACTATGCCAAGGCCATCTATAAAGTCTATGCATGAATCCCAGGTTCCTGGCTCTCCAGTAACCCTGTGCTAGGACTCTGAGCAAATCTGAGTCTTTACCCATCCTTTCCCCTCTAGCGCCTACCTTAGCAGAAACTATTGACCAGGGAAAGCCAGGATGTGGCTTTTCCATCAGAGATCAAGGCTACRTGGGGCTTATTTGATGGCTCATGCATCCAACAGTGTGGGTACAGCAATCCTTTTTTCTGTTTTTTAAATGGATCCCTCTTACATCCTCCCACTATTTCCTTCTTCTGTCACCATGAACATRGTCAAATCACAACTGTACCAACCCAGTCATAGACTCTGTTTCAGTTCAGTTAGGAATATCAACAGCTATGAAGATATTTYTAGATGTACCTGGCTAACTCCAGTGACATTCTCATCTGCTTTCCCATTTTATAGCCATGCCCATGGCTTCCTCCGTTTCCRTTTATCAGCCATAAGGCTGGTCTGCCTTGGCTGGCTCTGAAAAYGTCTCTCCCTCCCCACAGCGCGCTCTGGGACATTGAGACGGGGCAGCAGAAGACAGTGTTCCTGGGTCACACCGGAGACTGTATGAGTTTGGCCGTCTCCCCAGACTTTAAACTGTTCATCTCTGGGGCCTGCGATGCTACTGCCAAACTGTGGGACGTGCGGGAGGGCACCTGCCGTCAGACCTTCTCAGGGCATGAGTCCGACATCAACGCCATCTGCGTATGTATGCTGTCCGCGTGGTTGTGATGAGCAAGGAGAGGGAGGTGGGCCAGCACGGAAACAGGGAGAAGGCCTTAGGACACAAGCTGAAAGATGCTGCCACTGTTATATGGGGGGAACCAAGGTCTCAGGAAACCCTGGCTCCGTGGTCCAGTCTGAAGAAGGGAAGATCTGAGTTCAGTTCACAAATACCTGCAAGTCTGAGACAGTCACTGAAATTCTGAGGCTGACTCTTCCAAGGCACTGGGGCACCGAACGGCCTGGCTGCCTTTCTCAAAACACTGCTAGAAATCAGCCTGCACATTGCAGTCTGTGGAGCTCAACATACGCTCTGTTGCAGCCATACCCTTAGCTGCTGTTGGGAACTCCAATTCAGGCATGCTGTAGGAACCATGAAGCAAGACAAGCAAGGCAGCAGGAATGTCTCTCATAGCCCCAAACCTTGCTAACAGGAAGGCACAGATAGACAGCAAGCCTCAAAAGCCTTGGAATAACGGGTAGACAGCAAGCCTCAAAACAACAGCTGAGGTGGAAGACACTATAACCCTTCCCCAAGCATTAGAACATCTTGTGGAAGCCTAGGCACGAAAAAGTTAACCTGGTCTTAGGAGAAGTGTGAGTCTCCCTCTCCAGTATATTCAACTTTTAGTATCAGGTGCCTTGTACCACTGGGTTTTCCTAGCTCATTGGCTTTCCAGTGATTAACAGAGAGCGGAAGATGTCAAGAAAATGTAACGCAAGGCAGTCTGATTAAAACCTGGTTTGTTTCCCCCTCAGTTCTTCCCTAATGGTGAAGCCATCTGCACTGGCTCAGATGATGCCACCTGCCGTCTCTTTGACCTGCGGGCAGACCAGGAGCTCATCGTGTACTCTCACGAAAGCATCATCTGTGGAATCACATCAGTCGCCTTCTCCCGCAGCGGGCGCCTTGTGTTTGCTGGATATGACGACTTCAACTGCAATATCTGGGACTCCCTGAAAGCAGAGCGTGTGGGTGAGTAGCTCCTGGAGGTCCCCCTCTTATTCCTTGCAGGACCTTCTATCCCTACCAAGGCAATACAGAAGTCCTTATTTTTCTCAAATGGACGGCTACTATGCTGACTGAAGGACATCACTGTCTCCTCACACTTAAGGAGCACACCACAAGTTGTAGAACAACTTTTTGAACAGAAGAGCTATTGGCTACAGTCATTGATGTTAAGGAGGGCAAGCCTTTAAGCAAGATTGTTCCAAGCAGGACCAGGGAGGGGGGGAGAGAGCATCAATGTTCCTCTTAGCTCAAACTACTCACAAGCATAAACAGTCTCACAGTGATGCCTAGTCTCTGCAGATCACCCATTCCCGTTGTTCACAGTGCCACTTGGTGGCCAGGGACAGAGCTGAGCATGAAGATGGGCTCCGTTCAACACCTTTGGATGCTCAGTGTTGCTCATACAAGGAACACACACAAGTACTGTACTTCTTTCAGATCAGATACATCACCTGGTCTCTGAAAATTTCTACCACTATTTTTCGCTCTCCAACAGCATTGCTGTTTCTCAGTCAGAATGCTCTCCCTTCTTTGTCCCGTCAGTGACATTGCTCCAGGATAAATTCAGTTGAATGTTGCAGCCATTTCTCCTGCATCAAGAATTCAAGCAGCTAAACCTTCTTAAGCCCACTGTTCCCTAGACATAACCCATGCATGGTAGCTGTATGTGAGACACAAATATTCTTCAGCATGTTTGTTATTAACCACATAGTGATTCTAGCACAGGGGGATGTGTACACAGGCCCCAAGCCTGTGAAGAATGTGCTGTTTGATCAACCCCTTTGTCTCTCCCAGGCCCCATCTCCTTTACTGACCTTTCCTCTTTCCCTCCCGTCAGGAATCCTCTCTGGCCATGACAACAGAGTGAGCTGCCTGGGGGTGACAGCAGATGGCATGGCTGTTGCCACAGGCTCCTGGGACAGCTTCCTCAAGATTTGGAACTGAAGATAACAGCAGAGAGGGAAAGAGCAGCAGAAGCACGGCCAAGGTCTGAGCCCACGCAAACAGCATCTTCAGCTGAACACAGAAACTTCTGCTTATCATTCCCACTTGTCTCTATACACAGGTTACTTGTAGGGGTCTCCTAGCATGAAAGGAAGATGAGGAGCCTGTGGGTTGGGGTCGGCCTGAGAATAGGAGCACACGCGGTGGCAGTTCTCACCACCCTTGAGCAGACGAAGCCGTTTCCAGCCTCACGCAGGCAGCAGGGCCCCAGCCAAGCACAGCTGAGGGTCACGTCTCAGGCCTTCGCGTTGCGGCTCAGACACCCTGCATCTTCCTCCACACATTTGACACGTATCCCTCTGAGAACTCCCGTTCAACCCCTTTGTCCCAGACTGTCCTATCCTYGATTTAGCTACATACGGCTCTTCTATGAGCTTCTTTGTACCTGCACAGAGGCACTGGGTTTGATATTTTAATCATGCAACCTCTACCGAAAAGGTAGGGCAAATTGGGCTCATTTTCCATAGGGAAAGATTTAGCTCAAGTTTTGTCTATGCACAGGTGGGGGAAAGCTCCAGACCCCCCCAGAAAAACAGGGAACACTGTTTATTCTCATTTGTTGGCTTCATGCTGTTCCTTTTCATCTCACCCCATGTTGTGTGGTAACCCCATCTAACCAGTAACTTTCAGCCAACGCTTTCCACTCTAACTGCTATAGCACTTCATAGTCCAAGCAAATAAAGAAAGGTCACAGAAACACTGCAGGTTGTGATCTCTTCTGTACTGCAAGAGTCCTGCAGACAACTCTCATCCTGCAAGGACTGCACACTTACCCATTGCTCAGGGCATCTGCCCTAAGCAGGGCACCCACAAACCTTGCTCTCCAAGTCCACAGGAAAGGGTCTCTCATCCATTTTGGATGAGAACATCTCACTGCCTCTTGTTACAACAGGAGACTGAGACCAGCAGCCCAAGAGTTTGAGCAGAAAGCCAAGGTGATATCCATGGGCCAATTTTGCATCCTTTGAGATCTGAGCTTAGGCATAGAACAGTCATTCTGCAGGCATTACTCCAGCAGCTGGCTTCCAGCCATATCCCAAGGCTTTACTACTGACTAGGGACAAGCCACTAYATATTTTGTTGACTTTTAGCACAATATTGTCTCCCTCTAGTTTGGATTTTGCCCTTATGCCAGATCTCTGCAGCCATTACAACCCCTTGTGTACATTAGATCCAAGGTCACAGTAGGTACAGCAGAACTTCAGAAGACCCCACACATGGGGTGAGAGTCCTCTCAGCTCTACTGTGCAGTTAGAGGCTGTGGACAGGGCTGAGCGTGAGAGCTAATGGGGGATGAAATTTTGATCTGAAGCTTTGTCTCCAAAGAACACAGTGCACAGAGGAAGGAATTGCTGCTGTCCTCTCAGGACAAAGGTTTTTCTTCCTTTTTTTTTTTTTTTTTTGTTTAAACAGATAAGAGTGACATATGAGTTAGTACAGCTGACTTTAGTAGAAGAGTCAAAGCAAGCACTGTACATAACACCTACAATTTTAGGAGAACATAGCTCCTCCCCAACAGGGAAAAATGAGAAAAGCAACTGTAAGTCTGGAGTTTCAGTCTGTTGCAGGCTTTCTCACACCTAGAAGGTTCAAAGCGTAGAGGAGAACTGCAGTAAGSTCCAGGGAAAGAAGATCTAGTTCTCCACAAAAGAACACTGCTGATTCTCTTTGTTCAAGTCGCTCCAGGTACAGCTCCCAGATTTCAGGTTCCTGCTCAGATCCACTGTCACTTCCTTCCTGTCCCCAAGGTTCTCCCCCAATACATGCCTCTTACCCTAGAAAAGAAAATCAAGCTGAAAACCTAAGTAATAGCAGCAATAGATGCATCAAATCACACTGAGGGATGTACAGACAAATATATTTAAGACTGACCCAAAGAAAAGTACTTCTGAAGTTACCAGGCCTGGGAGACCCCGGCTTCCACATTTTGCATGGCTCCAGTTTGTATTTGGAGTGTTCTTGGTTTCTAYTCATTCTCCTCTGAGTGTATCCCGTTAAGCTTTACCTGGCGAGGTGCAAGAGCACTGGGGGAATTATCATCCTGCAGGATGCTGAGGGGAGAGCGTCCAGTCCCACCAGACGTTACCATGATTTTGCTGCTGGTCTTGCGCCTTGCTGGCTTGCTCCCTAGAGAGGGAAGAACACGCCAGTAAACCACTGCCAGCCCASAGTCCGCAGGGCACGAGGCTTCACGACCCGGTCCACTTGCCTGCGCAGCAGAGCAATACCCAGGGGCTCCTGGCCGACAGCCAGGAGAGTTTTCCGCAGCACGATCCATGCTAAGGACTCGTCCCCACTCACCTGTAACACCTACACGCGCTTCCCTCCCTCCAGAGGGGCCTGCAGGCCACGAGCGACAGCCTCTCCCCCAAGGAAAGGCTGCCTGATGCCACGAGGAGTCGGGACGATCGGCTAAAGCTTCCCTGGGAAAGCAGGCCGGGAGGGCCTGCAGCAGGCACCCGCGCACACGGGGCCCCCGCAGGAGGCGGCCCGCGCTGCGGGCCGGGGCAGGGAGCCCCCGGGGGCCGCGGGCCGGGCTCCCGCTCGGGAGCGCGGGGGCCGGGCCGGCTCCTTCC